CAAAAATGGTGGAAAATGTTAGAAAAAGAACCTTTCTTAAGAACTGGATTGTACATAGGAGATCCTCCATAAATTCCTGTTCAAATAAGCTAGTGAAGGGTGGGAGGGAGGACTAACAGCTATAAATATCTGAGAACCCTGCTGCAAGACAGATAACATTTTCCATTTCACAAGAAGTTATATTATAATAATTAGATTCAGTATTTTTACTAGACCTACGTAAGTGTAATAATGACAAAATCATTGTTTAAATAAGAGTTTTAATTCTTCCTGTTCTGTGATGGTATCTTATCAAGGCCCAAGCATTTGGTATGAACATGTTGAAATGATGTGTAATCAACAAGGATGCTAAAGATAAATTCTTAGAGATGTGAAGCAAATGCTTCCTTCCACTGTTAACAAAATGACCGAGTCCTCTTCTTGAAGAAATCAAGCTCTATTTATATTCACTCTCCTGAAATGGCACAGGCAGCCTTAGAAGGATAAGTTTATAATAAATCCCTGCATTTGGAAAACACTGTTGCTAAGCATCTTCTAACATTCAGCAGAGTTTATATAATTCATGTCTCCACTGCATAATTAACATTTCATGTTTTCTAAAAAAGTGTGGTATGCTTATCTATGTTGTTAATTTAAAACATTATAAATTTTGAGGGAATTAATAAAAGGCTATGCAACTAATTAATTAGAAAGGCAGCCTAATCCCAGGAGGGATAAAAACACAGACATTAAGTGTCAGGATGTGTCAGAGTTGAGCTTATAAACAGCTTGTCTGCTTGAGATAAAACATTTCAAAATGCAGCTGCTCTTTGCTTAAAAAGGTGAGCTACAAAACATTAGGCTTTTGGACAAGTCACAACTTATCAAACCACACTCTAGCTCAAAAATTAATTATAAAGAAAACATAACATTTGAAAATCAGTTTCACACCCAACCTGCAACATTAAACATTATATCTGCTCAGATAATAAGAGATCCAATTGTTGAAAGCAATACTACAGTAGTATTTCCAACTTTCTTATTTGTTATGGAGACAAAGTTTAAAAATACGGAAAATATTCAGTAACACTAGAAAAAAAGATTAGAAAAGTTGAGAGCAATCACACTGCAAAAGACACAGCATCACCCTTACAAACTCTGGAATAGATTGCAAACCTTCGGTCCTCTGGAAAAGCATGCACAAACATATATACTACAATGATTTTGATCTTTTGTATCAATAACCCACAAACAATAACCTTAAGATTAACAAAACAATCAGTAACATAGTTCACTTAGGTTTTATGAAATTCTGAATCACTTCAATGTATGTAATTACTAGACACCTGTGCACCATTTTATTAAAAATGGCAGAGCCTCCCCAACTAGAAGCCAGTCCAGGAAAAAGGAAAACCACCAGACAGCCAACACACCAAAAGCTCAAAGAACATACATGTCCACAAATCATAAGCAAGCAAATGTTCTAAGAAAAACACATGTCTACATTCCTACTTGTATTCTTAAGTGTTAATCCTTAACTACTTCCTTAATTGTGGCTTTCTATCTTTCAGAATTATTTTTCATTTTAAAGTTTTATTCAGAACCATTATATATACCTGCAAGACAAACTAGGACACTCATTTTCTCCTACAGTCAGAGACTAAAATGATACAGTAGTATAGAATAGTACATTACTATCACATAAAAACTCTAGGAAGAAACTCAACCCTATCAGTGAGAGAGTCAGAATTACATTACCTAAACTAAATGCAGTTATTTAAATCAGTTACAGAGAATCTCCAAAAATCAGAGAACTGGTTGGCCTAGACCAGTGGTTCTCAAAGTGTAGCCCTTGGACCAGCAGCACTGATTATCACCTGTAACTTGATAGAAATGGAAATTCTTGTACCCCAGCTGGACCTACTAAACCAGTAGCATGCAGCCCAGAATTGTGTTTTAACAAGCTCTACAAGTGATTCTTATACAGGTTTAACACAGGAGAACCACTGGCCTAAATTAATGATACATTTCCTGTTCACAGGGAAGTACAAGACTGGCTACTTCAAATCACTTGGAAAACATTATAAATACTGATTCCAGTTCCCCACCTTCTTTATTCAATTAAGTATGGAAAGTGAGTGAGTGAGTGAGTGTGTGTGTGTGTGTGTGTGAGAGAGAGAGAGACAGAGAGAGACAGAGAGACAGAGAGAGAGAGAGAGAGAGAGAGAGAGAGAGAGTGTGTGTGTGTGTGTGTGTGTGTGTGTGTGTGTGTGCGCACCTGCATGGGAGTGTGCATGGCTTCCCAGGTGAACCTGAGGCATAATGAGGTTTTAAGAACCAATGACCTGGGAATTCCCTGGTGGTCCAGTGGTTAAGAATCCGCCTTCTGTTGCAGGGGACGCAGGTTTGAACCCTGGTCGGGGAACTAAGATCCCACATGGGCAGGGCAACTAAACCTAGGTGCCTCAACTACTGAGCCAGCACGCCTCAACTAGAAAGCCCAGGTGCTCTGGAGCCCGTGCGCCACAAGGAAGATCCTGTGTGATTCAACTAAGACCCCACACAGCCAAAAATAAATAAAATAAATATTTAAAAAATTAAAAAACAAAAACAGGGGTTCCTACCTTTAAAAAAAAAAAAAGAACCAGTGACCTATGACAGTGGCTCTCCAAGTGTGGTCCCCACACCAGCAGCATCAGCATCAGCTGGGAACATATTAGGAATTCACAGGTACCAGCCCAGACCTACTGAATCAGAAACTCTGGGAATAGGGCACAGCCAGCCATCTATAGTTTACTAAGTTCTCCAGGTGATTCTGATGCACAATAAAGTCTGAGAACCTCAACTCCAAGTGATCTGTCTGGAATTGAGAACATGTGAAATGAATCTGAATTCAGCAGAAAAGAATAAATAAGAGACAGAATTAACTTGTGTACTCAGGAATACATCTCTTGGAGCTGGAGTCTCTCACTTTCCTCACAAATTTGGAGGTCAAGGTGCCTTATTTCCTAGATAAGCCAGTGGGAATTCTCAAGCTGTCCACTTACACACAGCACAACTGGTGAACAATGAAAATGCCTCCTAAAAAGCACTGGTATTAAGCAAGATGTATTTAAAGTCCACAGTCAGAACCATAGCTGAGAAATCTTGTCAGTGGGAAGCCAAAAATTGACTGGAAATGTTCACAAAAATAGCAGCAGTTATTTAAGGCACCACAGAACACTACCTTGTCTACTGCTACCTATAAAGGTAGCAATAACCACTTGGAGTTGTTTCCTTAGCACAGAGCAGGGATTTCTAAAGGCAAGAAAGGATAGGAGGAGATGAAGCTCAACGGAGGTTTAAAGACAAAACTAAACTCAACTCTGAAGTGAATAAATATTTTTATTACTCTACCAAGAGGAGTGGAGTGGTAATTACATCTCATGTCTCCCAGTTTTCACATACACTTCTCAAATACGTACTGAGAATACTGCTTCTAAATAATAAAATTTTACCATGACTCTTTTTGTAAAAAATATGATTCTAACTTTGTGTGTAATTCTAAGGTCAGTGTAATAATTGTGACTGCTTCTACTTGTCCAAGGACACTTACTATGTTAAAAAAAAAAAGGGGGGGGGCACAGCAGTTCAAACTTCCCTAGGCAGTCATTTTAAAAGACTAAGAGCCATCCAACTTTTCCCCTAATAACTCCTCTAAATTTGAATTTAGTTAGAAGGCAACATTAAATTTTCAATTCTTTTTACCTAGAACTAGGAGAATATGTAGTTCAAATTTACTGTATAGCTGAGTTTTTTCTTCCTATGCTCAATGCACACATTAGGGGTGCCCTTGTATATTCAATAAGTGAGATATGCCCATTCTACAGCATTTGGAGCAAAATTCGACTATTTTTAATTATAGAGTTTGAGTTGTTTTATCTTTCCTTCTGAGTCACACTATTAACCAAATGTATAAGTTAATCAAGTCCTTAGTCAGACTGTTTCAATGAGAAAATGCAGTTAACTTCACAATCAGCATTAGTCTGCTTTGTAGCATTATTTCTAAGAACACTGTGGGAGAAAGCCCTGACTAACCACCTAAGTTTAAATCATTCAGACACAAAAGAGAAGACAATGAAGAGTGGAAAAGCCAGGTGTATGAAAGTAGCTAATGAGGCCAGGCCAGGTTTAGTGCCTAACTTGGGTACTTCCTTGTTATGTTCTAGTTCATCCTATCCTTCCTATCCTTCTTCCTGCCCCCCTTCCTTTCTTCCTTTCTTTTTTTCCATTTATTTCTTCTTCTCCCTTATATCCAAGGAATGTCATATGTACAAAGGCACTTAAGTATCATCTACCACAACCCCCCCAATTTACAAATGGGAAAAACTAAGGCTCAGATAAGGCAAAGAACTTGCCCAAGACCACAAGATTGATTTTAAAGGTATTTTCTACTCAAAATCCATTTTCTACTATACACCCCTGCCTCTTTAGAAAAATCTCTTGCAAAAATTCTAGCACACTGTTCTTAAGCTTTATTCTGCTATATAAAGTTAGAGAACACGACTGCATAACACAACATACACTAGTATTTAAGACAGTATACACAAAACTACATATTTTCCCTACTGGACACTTTAATTTTAAGACTAATCTTTTAAAAATTACCTTCTCAAAATCTGATTCATTGCTAGATTAGGGGAAACAGAAGATCAGTTAAATACCTGAAAATCTGAAATTATTAAGTCATATTAACAGCAGTTAATATTTATTTACTGCTTGTATGCCAAGTACATCCTTTTTTTAAGTGTATATTTTTATGTGTATATTTTTATTTTTAGGAAGAGGGATTAAGAGTGATTCTTATTTCATTTTTATAGTTTTCTGAATTATCCAGATTTTTTCATAAAACATATATTTTATGATTAGAAAAAAATTTAGCTATTTCCATTAGGAAATAAGTGAGATATAAATTATCAGTTTGTAAATAAACCAGTTATTAAATCCATCAGTACAGAGTCACTACAGCAAATCACTCTCACCTGCTTCATTACACAAGGCTTTCAAGTCTGCTCCAACGTATCCATGAGCATTATTTGCCAGCTGTAGCAGTTCAGCTTCAGTGAGCAAATGGGGCACCCTTCGAAGCAGTTTCTGGAGGATATCTAGCCGGTCTTGTGCATTCGGAACTCCAATCTCAATTTCTTTATCAAACCGTCCAGGTCTTCGGAGTGCAGCATCCAAAGCATGGGGACGATTTGTGGCCCCAAGAACCAACACCTGTCCTTCACTTCCCTCCTAACAAAACAAAATTAAAATATATTACAGGGACTTCCCTGGTGGCGCAGTGGTTGAGAGTCCGCCTGCCGATGCAGGGGACACGGGTTCGTGCCCCGGTCCGGGAGGATCCTGCACGCCACGGAGCGGCTGGGCCCGTGAGCCACGGCCACTGAGCCTGTGCGTCGGGAGCCTGGTGCTCCGCAACGGGAGAGGTCACAGTAGTGACAGGCCCACGTACCGCAAAAAAAAAATATATATATATTCTAAAAGTAAAAAATATATATTCTAAAAGTATTCTAAAAAAAATATATTCTTCTAAAAGTAAAAAAATAAAAAAAATACACACTCGCTATATAGACAAGGATAGATCTAACTAGGCTAAGTCCTATCCCTTATTTCTCAAATTTTGTCATTCATCTCATATTTCCCAAAGCTCAGTCTAAATGCTCCCTTACCTAGAAAGTTTTCCAATACTTAACTATCTACTCTAAGTGATGTCTCTCCCACTTCTAGCATCTTAACTACACAGTTCTCATGAATAACAACATATATACCCTATACCATAGTTTTAATTTGTTTAACTGTTTTAAGTTGTCCTTTTCCCTACTTGAAAGCAAAGATTATGACCTACACGTGTTTCAAACAGAACAAGGCTCTATTACGCAGTTGTCTAAGAAATCTTCCTCACATTCGCACTGTTTCTATTTTGTTTTGATAAATATTCAAATTCCTGAAAATACACAAAATATAACCAACACCCAAGTATCAGATACCCTTGAATACATATGGATTTTTACTCTGAGAATAAAATCTGGAACAACAAATTATAAAGAACTATGTTCACAATGAGCCACCTGTAGAAATTATCCAACATTCTACTCAGATGACCCAAGTGTAATCTCACAGAGACAAGCTTAATTGGAATGTGATTTGAAGTAAGAAAACTCAAACCTAATCAACTATACTGGATGTGCCAACAGGAAGTGCACGGATTACAGTGAACCTATGAATTATGAGTTTAGAAGACAAAAATACAGGCCCTTAAACATTTTCAGGCTAAAACATCAGTGTCACATGCTCCCAGTCCTGCCCAAAGGCAAGAACATCAGTTCACAGCAGGTCTATCCCAGTGGCAGAGAAAGAGGTAGCAATGACATAGTAATTAAGATGCTCCAACACAGAGCCTCCTGATTTCCTACTCACCAAAATCCATTCGCATTATAATACAGCTCTCCACATATATTTTTCTTCAGGATGAAGAGAGCCGTTCATAAACAAAGTATTTGGTCAGCTTAATAATTATACTTTTCTTTTTCAAAACTCTTTTCATTGAAGTATAGTTGATAATAAGTATACTTCTTATCATAAATGGACGAACTGGTGTCCCAGTTTATGTATCAGTCTCTTGTGAGTGTTGTTATTATGGATCTATCCTCAGAGCTCCACTATCTCCAACATACTAACAACACTGAATCCTCCAGCTTTGTAAGTTCAGAACCGAACCTGGGACATTATGATCACACCTAGGTAGTGCCCTAAGACTGAGAACCAGATGGTCATCCAGCCTCCCGCAGGTTACAATCCTTCTCTTATGTTACTCTTAAAATTGTAACACAGGTTAGCAAATAATAGAGACAATACCAAACATTCCCGTTATTTTCACATGTTCAGTTTCTACCAATAGTCAGTAAAACCAAAAAGTTCGAATTGCACAGTTTTTCAATGTGCAAAAGACTGGGGACTCCATGATTTCTATAATTTCTTTTGGTTCTGACATATTATGATTCTAAAAATATGAGTTATTTACAATCTTGTATAAGAAGTGTATTCTTCCGATAAATGCCTAACAGGAGTCTGAGAGAATTTTTCTTCATTCCTCTTCCCTATTAGTCCTATGGATCTCCCTTTCATAATCAGCACATAGTTTTTATTAATATAAGACTGTATGCACTATCAAAGAATCTGGTAACATGAGTAAATTCTTTTTAAATGTTGTACAAACACATTTCCCATTATTCTCACTTTCTGTCCTTTCACTTGCCCAACTTAGAGCCCCCAAAGAATCAATTTTTACAAGAGTAATAAGACTTACTCATGAAATTTCTTAGTAAATTCCCCTTAAATTTAATTGCTAAATTTTCCTTACTGACTTGGGCTTCAGGTTTTTAGGTTAATACCATTTATTATAAATCTATCATTGTATATAATTTTATATGCTAGAAAAATATGCCAGGTTATACTGTCCTAGCTGTTACTAAGAAATCATGAAGAAAATTATTTTATGGGTCTTTCCTCTAGTTTTTACAGCTAATATTTCTTCCTTACCCTAGAGTATCCAAAAAACTCAGACATATTTGACAGTTTTTGCCACTACATGCATATTATTAAGAAAATAGCCCCTCCTACAGAAATCAATACTGGTGCTGTACTTACTGAACCAATACCATCCATCAGTGTTAAGAGTGAAGCTACAACTCTTTTTTCCACTTCATTCTGAGCCCCTTCTCTTTTAGGGCAGAGTGTATCCAGCTCATCAATAAAAATAATTGATGGGTGCCTAAAAATAAACAAGTAAAATGAATTCTCTAATATATATTTAATTTTTAAATGATATGTTGCACTGCAGTTAAAAAATTGAAATTGTTTTAATTTTTTGACTGAAATGCAATGCATCAAATTTAGGATTTAATTAATAATATTAAAGACAAAAGCAATAGGATGTTAAGCTGAAAAGTCTTAGATTAATTCTAGCCTAAATTATTAACTCACCAATATCACATTCTAGTAGATCTGCCCTCAATAAAAAGTAGAGTACTGAGAACATGTATTGCTCATGAGATGACAGTCTATGCCCAGACAGAACTTGCCCACTAATGCCCACTAAATTGCTATGCCTGGATCACTTCAGAAGCTGAGGCCAGTGATGCTATTCCTTGGAGATGGTTTAAAGTTCCAAGGGATAGAAAGTAGAAATGCTCTTTTTAAAAAATCTACTAAAAAAACAACTTTCAAGATGACCAATTCTCCCATACAAAGATGTGAATCCTCTCATAAGAGGAAGTCTCAACTTCCAGGAACAAATTAATAGTGACAATAAAAACATTCTAAACAATAAGGTATACCACTGATTCTCAAATCTTCAGTATTTGGAGTAAAGACTACTTATTTTATCTACTAGGGGAAAAAACTTTAAAAATGGAAGTTTTGATAAGAGGGCAGTAATTATGGTAGGTTACATACCAAAACAATGAAAGAGACATAGCCATATTATGAATAAAACTACATTAGACCAAGTTACAGGCCACTCGTTAATACTCCTTGCAATGTAACAATGGTAGCCTAAACTAAGAAATGATTAGTAAGAATCATTTCTAAAGCAAAAGATTTGTCACTTTGAAGCAAACTGTAATAAAACAAAGTTTTAAGCCTAAAGGGCAACTATAATAGTCTATCGAGATTAGACGTACCCAAAAGAAAGAAAATCATAAATTTATATGCTCAAGCAAATTCACATGACTTATCGGACAGCACTGTCTTAATTCTTTTACCTTATGTAATTTTTAAAGTTGAGATATTGACATATAACATTACTTTCAGTTACACAACATAATGATTCAACATTTGTATATACGTATCATGAAATGATTACCACAGTAAGTCTAATTCACGTTGTCTCCGTACAGTCATAAAATTTTTTTTCTTATAATGAGAACTGTTTAAATCTACTCTCTTTGCAACTTTCAAATGTGCAATACAGTACTATTAACTACAGTCACCATGCTGTAGATAACATCCCCATGATTTATTTTATAACGGGAAGTTTGTACCTTTTGCTACATTATGTAATTTAATAACTTATTTCTCACATTTCCAAAACAATATTAGATAGAATTAGATTAGATAGAACCTCATTAAACTTACAATCTACTTCCAGTGCTATCACTATTATTTTTGTTCTATTCTTTCATGCTTCGTATAAAGTACTACTATCTCTACTTTCATTAATACACCCTTGACTACTAATTCCAAACATCCAAAAATAAAGAATACCGCAGAGTGGCTTCAGCAAATATCTGACGTAACCTTGCTTCAGTCTCCCCATAGAATCTGTAACAAATAAAATACATTTAAAGACCAACTCTTATCATTTTTAAAGCTCTGTCTATAAAAGCTCACCTGACTTTTCAAATATTTCCACAATACTTAATACTACTTTCAAAAATTATTTTCCAAACTTAATGTTTATACACATTAAAAAAAGCAAATTAAAAGTATTTCAATGTGTGGGCTTCCCTGGTGGCGCAGTGGTTGAAAGTCCGCCTGCCGATGCAGGGGACACGGGTTCATGCCCCAGTCCGGGAAGATCCCACATGCCGCAGAGCGGCTAGGCCCGTGAGCCATGGCCACTGAGCCTGCGCGTCCGGAGCCTGTGCTCCGCCACGAGAGAGGCCACAACAGTGAGAGGCCCGCGTACCACACACACACACACAAAAATTTCAATGTGTGAAATATCCAGACAGAACACTATTGAGTCATTTTTTAAAAACCACATTTAAGATGTATATCTAATAATATTGTTTAGTCTATTAAATTATGCACTTACTTGCTAATAATTTCAGGGCCATTAATTACAGAAACATAGGCACCAACTTCATTAGCAACAGCCCTGGCAATCATTGTCTTTCCAGTACCTGGAGGGCCATAGAGCAACACTCCTCTAGGGGGAGGAATTCCTAGAAGAAAAAGCAGAGAACACTGGATGCAGCATTACTAGGTTGCTTGTAAGTGTTGTCATATGACTTCAAACACGAGTTATAAAATAAATTTACCTTGCACAAAAACTAAAGTAAGAGTCAGAACTTCCCTTTCCCCATAGAAAAATGTACTAACTAGCCCAAACGGTGATCTCAAACAATGACTTTTTCTCTCTCTGTAGACCCAACCAGGCCAGGCTGGTTAGTAAAAAAACTGGTTTAACACCCACACTATTGACATGCCCCATCCCACACAGCACAGTTCAATGATCAAAAAACAAAGCCCAAACAACAGGAAGGGCATGCAAAATAAGCCCCCAACCCCAATTTTTATCCAACTAGCCATCTCAGAGAATATAAGCCTTACCAGGGTTCCTTTTATATGTGAATCCAAGTATTCATTTTATATATAGATAGATAGATAGATATAGATATTCATGAAAAAAGAAAAAGCAAAAAGCAGAGAAAGACACGGTATGCACCAAATATATGCAGAGGATCTGGGCAGTTAACAATGCAGAAGAAGCCCTGAGTTTTCTAAAAGCCAAGTCACTCCCTTAACTACTTGTTTCAATGCAAAGAGATCTGCACCCAGCTACATTTCCTAACAAAGAAGTTTTATCCAAACTATTTAAATGTTTGATTTATTTTTTTAGTCATTACGGCTAATCTAGCATGACAAGATACTTACTCTAGATCCAATACAAACAACTGTGGAAGTGTGCAGTTAAGAGAGACAAGGCTACAACTAACTCACATTACAACCTGAAGAGACCAAGCATAGAAAAAGGCCGACTTAACTGGCATCTCCTACCACACCTCCCACTCAGGAAAGAAAAACAGGAAAAGAGGGTGAACAATTATTAGATAAGTGAAATGAGCCAACTGCTTTTAGTATGAATTTAACATTTCTGGGTGTAGTACACTGAAGAAATCATACCATAACTCTTGAAAAGCTCAGGCTGTTTGAGAGGTAATTCAATTATTTCTCTAATTTCTTTCAGCTGACTATTTAAGCCACCAATCATGTCATAAGTTACTTTTAATTGGTTGTCTTGATCTTTTGAATTTGTACGAATCTTTGTAAAATTGACTCTTGTTGTCGAAGAAATAAAATAAAAGGTATCGGTGTTGCACTGTGCTCCCACGCTGGGTGACTTTAGCAATCTCTCTTCATTGACAGGTTGCTCATTTCCTTCTCTGGCAGACTGAGAACGACGTTTAAGACCTGTGACTGCCTCTAGTCCAAGTCCACTGCCATTCCCAGGACTCTGTGTAACACCTGACGAAACGCCACCAGCTTTATTTATCATTCTGCCATCTCCTGGTTTGTAAGGAGTACTGCTTGATGTTGGGTTTTGGGGCACTTCCAGACCTAACTGGCTTAGCTGTAAGGATATATCCAGGGTACTAGTTTCCACACTGGATGGCTTGGAGGCCATTCCCCGGGCAATAGTGTCAGAGTCATTCTGAGCCCTTCTCAACAGCGTGCCATCTGCTCCTTTCACTCGCAACACTTGCAACTTGCATGGTCGTCCATAGAATGTACAATACAGAAAGTTGCCTGGTAAAACAATCTTGCCATCTGGAAAACAATTTATTAAATATATACGTTAGCACAATTTTTCACCCATTTAAAGTTTAAATAGCAATTTATTTCATCTATTAACAAAACTATCTGGCTGAAAAGACTAAATCAAAGATGGAAGTATTAATAAAACAACCGTTATGAAAAACAGAGGACCTAATATTCCCCTATGATAGGGCACTATCTGGAGACAGAAGGTCAAGCTAATTCTCTGAAATTCTCTACACTCAGTACATTTAGGATTCTATAGCTATAACCCCATAGAGCCAGGCATTCCATGTTCAGTAACAAACCAAGCTAAAATGGCACATCTACACCAACACTCCAAGATAACATACCTGACCAGAAAGAACAGAGTTCAAGGGTTAAAAGTCTTAGTTCTACCACTGACTTTGCTCACAGTTAAGTCAAAAATTCTCTCCACTGCTCAACTACCAATCAATTACTTGGCAGTTAGGGGTGGGGGGCGGCAGCAGATACTACATCCCTATCTTAAAAGGACGTTCATTCGTTGAGAATATTCTCTACACTATTTTAAAGAACAGCATTATGTACATAAGACCTCAAAGACACATCAGTTTATTTGCTGCTGCCTTGCTTTTTAACATTTAGAAAACGTATGAAAGAGACATCTCACCTAGTTTTCTCAGAAGACAAGCAGTCAGTTGTTCTTCATTAATATCTGCATTTTTGTCACTGTGAAAGGTGGGAGAAATAAAAATCAGCATTAAGTACACCAGAAACGAAAATGTAATATAAAATGACATGTACACAGTTGTGATGTAGACCTTATCAAAAGAAACGTTAGTTTACAATCTGGAAATGATTTATACAATTTTGGAATGATTTACACTTTTTAGATACTTCTTATAGCCATGAAAACACCATTTGCAATTTGGTGTCCCAGTGGCCTAAATCAGTTTTCTTTACTATCTTACACACCACACACACACACCCCTATATACTCAGGTATATACATGTACACACGTGTGTACATTTATGTACTACATCTGTGGATGTATAAGAGCAATAAATCACAATGAAAAGTATGTGTTTTTTATTGTGTGTTATAGTCAGAAACATTGGAAAAACACTGGCCTCAATTAATCATTTCCTTTCTGAACTTGCCCAGCTTGGAGAAAGGCTTTTATTAATAGCTTACTTTATTCTCTTTGTATAATTTATAAATTATCTTTAAGGAAATTTAAATCCTATAGAGTACGTTATCTGAAGAGGTAGAAAAAAAGCGGAGTAATGGTACAGTGCAAGTTTATGCTAGAGAAAGGGTATGCCTAAGAAAAAATGGAAAAGCCTTCTTCTGACCAAAAACTGTGTCTTCCAGGAAAATTGCTTGTTTGAGTACAGGAAACATGCCTAAAAATCATTACACTTGTAAAGAAACACGTTCTTAGAGAGTTCTCAGAATATGTGCATTTTCCCTCCTCCTCCGTGTGTAAGCGGCCCATATCAGCAGAGGAAGCCTACAGTTGCGAGCTCTGCCAGAGATCACAGAGGGAGAATGGTTTAGCTCAGGAAAAGGTGTATTAGCAGGAGCATCTGGTCCAAATCTAAGCCTTGCTCCCAACCACCTTATCAGTAACAAAATCAATACAGCCAAACTACATTATTTGAAAATTCCGTATGCAAATTCACCTACTTGCTAAAATGTGTTTATAACCCCAAAATCAATACTAGCAGAGCTTTGCCAGTCATTTGTGGATGAGCACAGAGCAAGCAAAAACTGTAACCCAATACTTTCCCAGCTGAGGCTGAAAAAGGCCTATTGTTTCAACTCTCATTCAGAGGTGACCAGAGGATGGAAGGTGGGCAGGGTAGGGAGCAGTGCAGTATGGCGTGAAAAGTTCCAGCTCTGGCACCACACAGAGAGGGTTTGCATCCTAACTCTGGCATCTGTTAATGGGGTGGCCTCAGGCACGTCACTTAGTATTTCTGAGCCACTTCTCCTCATTTGAAAAATAAAGAAAATAGAATCTACCAGAATGAGTTGTTTCAAGGACTTAAGATTATAATCTACATAAGATATATATTTTCACATATTTATATGTGTTAAATAAATACACACATACATATAGACACACAAACACACACACCCTCCCTAGGAGCAACAGTTCAGTATTCGCTAATTCAGTATTTGTGGCAACGTCATGGAACACAACTGTCACCAATAATGAGAACCAACTGTGTATTCATATAAAAGAGAGAGAAAAACAAGAAGAAAATTTCATGAATCAAATGCGTGTATAAACTAAAGAGAAGATTGTACATATTTCCTTAAATACTTAAATTTACTTGTTTAAAGAACTCTGAAACTACTTAAATTGCTTTTATTTATTAAACTTTGAAGAGAAGATATTTGCAAATATGTACAAATATGTAAAATATGTAAAACAATCAGTTTTGCTTTTAAAAAAGCACAGATAAAATCATTTCCACTAGAAGGAGCTCTAACATTAGTATTGATAATAAACTTTTTCAGATACAACTGAAGGATTTAAACAGCAGACTAAAATAACTGATTCTTCTTATTGGAAATTAAGTTTCTTGTCTAAGTTCTTCTGCCATGTTTAAAACATAAGGTTCTTTAAAATAAAAAACCAAGTTTCCATTTAAAACATATACAGTCCCTCTAGAGTAGGTAATCATTATCACCTAAGACTGCTGCGCCCTCAAGAGGTCACATTTGTTAGTAATCATCAAAAACCCAGTCAACTGATTACTGCTACCTAAAGCACTGTTTTAAAACAGTATGAAGATTAATCCTGTTGAACCTGAATTAACTAAAAAATTACCATAAAATAATGGGCAAGTTACTTCTCATTGAGCCCATTTCCTCATCTGTAAAGAGGGATAAATATGGATACCTTGCTGGATGTTTAGAGGACTAAATGAGAGAAGAAAAAGAGGAAAGTGTGGGTGTGTGTGCTAGTACACAGCTGACGCTCAACATATGTTCTCTTTTCCTTTCTGGCTTTTTATTTTGTTGCTCGTTAAACTGTTATTCAATGCACTGAAGACATTTTCCTGTTTTTAAAAGAAAAAATACACCAAAGCTTAAGCTTGGAATCTACAAAAGTAGAAAAGCGAAGAAAACTTTTCAAAATCAAGCTAATGACTGAAAAATGTTTTGTGATTCTGGCATATAAAATTCCCCAAGTTTTTACAAACATGATATTAAAGTATTAAAAGATTTTTTTTTTTTTGTGGTACGCGGGCCTCTCACTGTTGTGGCCTCTCCTGTTGCAGAGCACAGGCTCTGGACTCGCAGGCTCAGCGGCCATGGCTCACGGGCCTAGCCGCTCCGCGGGAAGATGTGGGATCTTCCCGGACCGGGCCACGAACCCGTGTCCCCTGCATCGGCAGGCGGACTCTCAACCACTGCGCCACCAGGGAAGCCCAAGATTTTTTTTTTTTTAAACAAATTTTGATATGACTTGTATATGCAAACTGAGTAAAAATCCTATTAGATACAGAACATTCAAGAGGATGGGTGATATACTTTAACCATATTTGTCATCTTTGGTGGGGGACTATTTAAAAATTGGATAGATATAATTGTTTTATTTGACCGAATAATCAATGAGTTAAAATACAGAATCAGGTACACTTCACTTGAGCAGTCTTAATTAAAACTTGTTTCTTGCCAAATCACAGTAATCTATTCCTGTCTTTACCACTGTAAAAAAGACAAGAAGCAAACCAAGACAAAAAAAAAACTGTTAAATATCCATCAACAACAATTCCTCTCACCTGAAATGTCAGGGCATATTCTAGTCACGGGACATTAGAGAGCCCATAGTCCATAAATCACATAGCACCCATCTAGCTTGTGCTGTCTGACACAGTAGGCCACTAGCCACTCACCACATGCGGCTATCAAGTGCTAAAAATGTGGCTAGCCTAAATTGAGATATGCTACAAGTGTAACATAACACACTGGATTTTGAAGACTCAGTTTGAAAAACAGAATGAAAAATCTTGTTAATAGTTTTTTGTAGTTATTATAAATTCAAATAAGACTTTACATATACTGGTTAAATAAAACATACCATTACAATTACTTTCTCTTTCTCTTCACTTTTTAAATGTGGCTACTAGAAAATGAAAAATTACATGTGTGGTTCACATTTGTGACTCATTTGGGCAGCACTGATCCAGACAGTCACCAAAGAAAAGAGCCAAACCTGAGTGCCACGTCCATTTCCTCAGCCTGCAGCACAGCACCCAAAACAGGCTGGACGTGGATGGCATCACCAACCCTCACACCCACATTCTTCTGTGCCATTTCACTCAGGCCAACCTTGCCTCCAGGAAATCCTGCCACAGGCCAGGCCGTATAGACCTGCCCAGAACATAGGAAACAAAAATATAATAAATATTTGTAGAATATCATTCATTTATAAGGAAGAAAACTAAGCACAGTCAAGTACATGGATCTGCAAAACACAGTCCGTACCCCAAAGGAGTTATGATTTGACATCAGTTACAAAAAAACTATTTTTTTATAAATATTACATCTCTTTTGTGAAGATCAGGAATAATACCACAGTGAAAAATGGTGGAAGAGCTGAAAGGTGGATTTAAGAAAAGAGACAAAGGCATTAACAGGTGATAAGAGAAAAATGAGAAAAAATACTGAAGGCAAGCTAACTGTAAGGTAGTTCAGTCTGGAGCATAAACTACATCTAGGAAACAGCGAGTGACCCAGTACAAGAGCTCCATGGGAACCTGGTTCTCAACCGACTTAAATGGTAAGGGAGAAACTCAAAGATTTCTAGCTCCGGATAATAGGCTGAGCTCACATATTTATAGTCTTCTCTTCCACAAAACACAGTAAAGGATGTTTTACAGTATAAGCCCAGAACAATGAAAGGAATGGGAGGCAAGCCATCAGCAGATATAAGACTGCAAAACATTTCGAGAGGACCCCACTGGGTGAGAGAACACTGACTGACGAAGCAGCAGCAGAAGGCATGGCAGAGTCAAAGGAAGAAAGCTAAGCTGCCAAAATGACCCAGGAAAGGTTCTGGACTTAGAGTCTCAGGTATGATGAATGGTAGCCAGGACAAACGGAGGGTAATCAAATATTTACATACAAAACAGATGACCCAAAATAACATTTCTGTGAAGAAATACAACTAACAGACTGGGACAAATAGGGCTGGTAGTGTGTCACTACCTCTGGAGGAAAGGCTTCTTTCTACATCATGGCACTTAGGGCCTACAACTCACAGGGTATCAAAGGAAGGAAAAGTTTACATAGATGTGAGGGTCTTGTAAGATATAGCTTTTCATTTATTACTGCTTGTGTTGAAAATTAAAATCAAAAACATCTGAACTATTTCTAAAGTAAGGAAATGAAAAGGACTCTCACCTCTTGCTTTCCATCCAAACTGGTAAGCAACACTGGTCGACCAATACATATGTTTGCAGACTTCATGGTGTTGAGTCCAAGTTGAACAAGGGAATTCTGGAATGCTTTAGGAACTTTGTCGTCTACCAAGAAGGAAAAGAAAATTATTTTTGCACTATTTGTAACTGAAGTTAAAGCATGCTTTCTTTTGGAGTAAATAAAACTCCTTTATCCACATGACCATACAAATGCACTTAACAAACCCTGGAGAGACTGCTGTCCCAACCCTCCTTATTTTAGCAATCAGACTTAAAACCAAACCTTTGTAAGGATCCACTGACAATATGACTGCTAACTAAAAAAGGATGTTTTATGGGGTAGGTATTGGTTTTCATTATTTAAAAAAAAATCTCTAATTTCATTACTAACTGAACATACTTGCAGTAGGGCTTTTCATACTTGCATTCTGAACTTTTCATATTACAGATTCTAAGTTGAGTTGGCTACTAGTACTCAAAGGCTTGAACTGGGGAAATGACACATCATCTGGCTCTGGAGGATTAAGTTATGTTTCCACTTCTCACCCACAGGATAGGAACCAGACATTCTTCCTTTCTATTCCCAGGAACACATGGATAACAACAACACAAGTCTTATTCCTTAGGCAAACACACACCGACTCAAATGACCATTAGAGCTTTCAACTTTTGGCCAAAGAAGGGGCCCAGAATTCAGTCCAGTTTCAAAACCTCTGAAAATGATATGCTAACATCTCCACCCCTGCCCACACACTCCCTCAAGCTCCACATTTGGTTAGCTGTCCCTCCTCTGATGCTCCCAGCACCCTATGTTGCCAGATATTAGCAGTTATCACAATATTCATTTATTTTACAATCTGACTTTCCTTTAACAATATACTGCTTTGTAACAGGAAATGGGTCATATTCATCTTTGTAACTCCAGCACCTAGGAGTGCATCAAATATAGCAGATGCATAACAAATATGCATGAAATGAATGAATGTAGTAGATGAGTATACAATATTTTTCTTTTCAGCACAAAATCCATGTAACGCTTACGATGCCTCTCACATAAACTTTATTATAAAACTTAGTCACATATATCATAATCACAGAGCTCTGACTAGTATTAGTGTTCTTTCATAATCAGAAAAACAGATCTTTTGTAATTAAAAAGGAACTAAGTCAACAAAAGCGAAACCATGAGGTATGTCTGATTTACATCATTCTCTGCCACTGCGAAGTAACTTCCCAACACATTTATTTTCCCTCTGTCATCAGATGAACAAATCTAGAAAAACAAAGCATCTCCCAGGGCTAAGATTAACAGAACTGAGCATAAAATAAGCATTTTTTAAAATATGACAGGCTGAAAAGAAATTCAACTTTCCTATGAGCACCAGGTCTCTTACACAGTTTACCCAGAAATAAGAGCAAAGCGTCCTGTTTGATAACCTCATAATGTTCAGTTTCTGCCACTTCTTTCTTCCTAATAAAGGAAACCTCAATGAATTACCCTTCCCTCTTGATAATTACCTTGAGGGGGGTACTCAGTCCCTGACAAGATTCTAAGTTTTCTTCCTCTCTTCCCTCCATCCTATCCTGCACCAAGATTTGAAACATCACACACTTCTCTACCTCCATTTCCTCCCTATCAGCAATGGAGATCATGCTCAAATTCCCATCTGTTGGCTTTATTTCCTAATACATTTCCATTGTATTCTCTGCTTACAGTATCCAAATCTATGTAAGCTATCCCCCGCACAATTTTCACCAGTCCTCACTCCTTCAATACCTTAAAAATATATCTCTACATCTACTTCCTATTAATTAACTTCACACTTACTGAGCACCTTATGTGCCAGATTAACTAATGAGATAGTAAAGGTAATTTCAAACAACCACCCACCCTTCATTTGTTCATTCAGCAAATATTTACCATGTGCCCACTATATGGCAGGATACTACACTAGGCACTGGGGAAATAAGGTGAACAAAAACAGACACAGTCCTTGGCCTCATGGAGTTTATAACTTAATAGAATGAAAGTTATTAAACAATCACTAAATAACTGTACAATTCTAAACTAAGATTAATGCAATGAAAGAAAAACTAAGAGTCCTAAGAGAGGCTATAATGCAGGATCAGATCTAATTTGGAAGAATCAGAGAATGCTTCTCCAAGAATATTTAAATTCAGGTCTGAAGGAAGAATAAAATTAACTAAATGAAGAGGGGGAGGGGGAAGACAATTCTCAGCAAAAAGAAGAGCTTGTACAGACATCCTTGACAAAAGACAGCATTGTCCATCTGAGGGGAAAAGTACAGGCAGAGTGGTGGGAAACAAGGAACCACATAAGGAAGGTCAAGACCACCCAGGGCAGTGGGCTTTATCAAGCTCCTTGTCTTTAATCTGACAGTAATTGGAGGCCAGTTAGTGGTGAAAAGCAGGGTCGTGACAGGATTTTTATTTTAAAAGATCATTCTGTCTGCAGAGTGGAAAAGAAATTGGAAGAGAGCAGCTAGTGTAGTAGTCCAGGTGAGAGAGGATGGTGTCTGAGATTAAGGTTGAAGCAGTGGGAAGGGAGTGCAGAAGTGGAACATGGGAAATACTTAGTAAACAGGACGTGGTGGTGGACTGGATAATGTGAGATGTAAGAGAGCGGTGTCATGAAGGAATCTTAGATTTCTGAATTTTACAATGAGAAAGACTGAACAGAGCTCATTTGTTTTGTTGGAGGAAATCTGACTTCAGGAAGTCAGTCCTGAAGTATCTTTGAAAAGTCCAAAAGAAGAGGTATAGCACAGTGCTATATTCAAAGTATGGACCACAAATTAAGAAAACAATCCCATTTACAACTGCATCCAATAAATTTAACCAAGGGGGTGAAAGACTTGTACTCGGAAAACTAAAGACTCTGATGAAAGAAACTGAAGACACAAATAAATGGAAAGATATACTGTGCTCACAGATTGGAAGAATCAATATTGTTCAAATGTCTATAATACCACCTAAAGCAATCTACAGATTCAATGCAATCCCTATCAAAATACTAATGGCATTTCCCACAGAACCAGAACTAATGATCCTAAAATCCATATGGAACTGGAATAGCCACAGCAATCTTGAGAAAGAACAAAGATGGAGGTAGCATGCTCCCTGATTTCAAACTATACTGCAAAGTTATAGTAATTAGAACAGTATGGTACTGGCACAAAAACAGACACATAGATCAATGGAACAGAATAGAGCGCTCAGAAATGAACCACACCTATAGGGGAAATTAATTGATGACAAAAGAGGCAAGAATATATAATGGGCAAAAGAGAGCCTCTTCAATAAATGGTGTTGGGAAAACTGGACAGCTACGTGCAAAAGAATCAAACTGGATCACTTTCTTACACCATGTACAAAATAAACTCAAAATGGATTAAAGACTTTAAATATAAGACCTGAAACCATAAAACTCCTAGAAAAAATATATACAGTAAACTCTTTGAAGTTGGTCTTAGCAGTATTTTTGGATCTGTCTCCTGAGGCAAGGGCAACAAAAGCAAAAATAAATGAGACTACATCAAACTAAAAAGCTTTTGCACAATGAAGGAAACCATCAACAAAACAAAAAGAGAGCCTACTGAGTGAGAGAAGATATCTGCAAATGATATATCTGATAAGGGGTTAATATCCAAAATACATAAATAAATTTTATACATATATATTACAATGAAATATTACTCAGCCATAAAAAAGAATGAAATCTTCCCATTTGCAACAACACGGATGGATCTAGAGGGTGTTATGCCAAGTGAAATAAGTCAGAGAAAGATCAGGATCAGATGATTTCACTTATATGTGGAATCTAAAAAACAAAACAAACAGAAACAGACTCATAGATACAAAGAACAAAGGGATATTTGCTAGATGGGAGGAGGGTGAGGGGGCTAGGCACACAGGGGAAGGCGATTAAGAGGTACAAACTTCCAGTTATAAAGTAAGTAAGTCACAGAGAAGTAATGTACAGCATAAGGAATATAGTCAATACTGAAATAACTTTGGATGGTGACAGACGGTTGGTTACTAGACTTTATCAAGGTGATCATTTCCTAATGTATTTAAAAGTGAATCACTATGACTTACACCTGAAACTAATACTGTTCGTCAACTATATTTCAATTAAAAAAAAGTGTGGTCCACAAACTATCTGATACTGTTCATGATGAAGTAAGTAGAAAAAATGAGAATATGCATTTAGAAGCTTTTATTGCAATTTGACAGAGTAATTTTACATCTGTTGAATCTAATAAAAATTTCTCTTTTTTAACTTATTTTTCCAATAATTTACTTTTATCATATTTTACAACAGTGCTGATCTGTGATGTGTTGTAAATTTTTAAACCTTCCCTATGGAGTTTGAGAAGCATTGATCTAGAAGACAATTAAATCAAGACTCAGAACAATCTAAATTACAAATACAAATCTGAAAATAATAAGGGTAAATGGGAAGGAAACGCTGGACATTGGATGAACTTGCCAAAGAAAGAAGATTTATAGAGAGAAAAAGAGGGTTTAGGACTAAGAAATAAGGAACTTCTACATCTGATGGTTAGGTGGAAGAGGGTGAGCCTGCAAAGGGAACTAATGAAGTACCAACCAAAGGGAGGAGAAAAACTCGTTGATTTTGATGACAGGTAAGTCAAGAAATAAAGTGTTTCAAGAAGACAGAAATGGCTGACAATACCAAAAGCTGCTGAGGGGTCAAGTAAAGTAAGTAATGAAAAACCATCCATTGGATTTACCAACGTGGAGATCATCAGTGACCAGGGTACAGGCAGTTTCCATGGAATAATGAGGTGGATGTCAAATAGGAATAGGCTATGGAGTAAGTGAGAGATGAGGAGGCAGGGACTCCTCCTTTTAAGAAGTCTTGCAGTGGAGGGTGGTGATAAGAAGTGCAGAGCTTTTGTTTAAAGATGAAAGAGAAAGGGCTTCCCTGGTGGCGCAGTGGTTGAGAGTCCACCTGCCCATGCAGCGGACACGGGTTCGTGGCCCGGTCCGGGAAGATCCCACATGCCGCGGAGCGGCTAGGCCCGTGAGCCATGGCCGCTGAGCCTGCGCGTCTGGAGCCTGTGCTCCGCAACGGGAGAGGCCACAACAGTGAGAGGCCCACGCACCGCAAAAAGAAAAAAAAAAAAAAAGTGAAAGAGAAATCAGTAGGTTTAAATGTCAATGGGAAGGATCCAGTTGAAAAAGAGACTGAATATGCCCAACAGAACAAGTTGTCCTCCGATCCCCAAAAAGCCTGAAAATACTGTGTTAACTGGAAGATTGTCTTTAGGGTCTGCACTAGACATAAATAAAATCTTGCCACTAGGTTAATCTGATCCCTTTTTCAAAGCTACAAAACATCTCGCCTGCTAAAAGCTTTACCAACTCAATGCTTTTCACTTAAATCCGTTCTCCCAAGTCAAGGTTGCTGTGATCTAGGTCCATGGCTTTAGAATCAAATACATCTGGACTCAAAAAAAGTCTCTACCATTTAGTTAGGACCTGTGTAACCTGGGGGGAAGGGGGGGGGGAATAGCGTTAACTTTTCTTCCTCTGTAAAATGAGCATAATAATACAGTACCCATCTCCCAAAGCTCTGCGCAGAATAAATGAGATACATGAAATACCCAAGCTCCTGCTAGCACCCGTGCGCACTTAACAGCTGTTTAATTAAATACCAGAACCCGTGTAGTAGGAAAAAAGCCACCTTTCAGTTTTAAAGGCACATTAACGTCTCTTAGGAAGGACATACCGACAGCGGTACTGAACTGGACTTTCAGTTTTTTAGTATAGGTATACTATTCTCGCTAGAGACGAGCGACTTCGCAGTTAAATACGGCGTTAATCTTAAATAAGGCAAAACCGTTTCAAGCGCAATTTAGAAATTCAAAGCAATTTACAAAAGACTTGACTTAGCCACTAAGTCATTTCTGCCCAACTTCTCTAGTGCAGGCGCGGCTTCGAGTGTCTTACATACTTCTGTGCCTCTCGCACACCTCTGCCTCACCCAACTTTTTAAAAACCTTTACACCTCAAGGCAAAATCGCTAGGTTTTCGTCCTCTTGGGCGGCGCCCCCTCGGCCTCGGGTCTCCCTCTCAGAACTCTTTACCCTTTTCTAAGAAGTTGATCACCACCAGTGTCCCGGCCGCCACGGCAGAAGCTGTGGCCCCGGCAGAAAAGGAAGCAGCGGAGGCCGAGGGCGAACCATTCCCGGCGCTTTGGTTCAACCGTTTTCTGTTCTTCTTGGACGACATGATCGGAACACAGCCCGAGAGAAGCAGCGGTAAAGCCGGCTCAACGTGCGCGCTTCGCTGAGAGAAAAACTTCCGGGGCAGAAACCAGCGAGGCTCCGTCCGACGCCGTAATCCCCTGAGTGGAGCGCAGCAAGAGTGGGAGAATATAGCGTCTTCAGAATCCGCTGTCGTTGAAGATGTGGAAGACGTTCTGACTTTCCCCACAGAAGACGGATTAGGTGGACGGAACCCTCATTTAGATTATAAATTCCTGAAAAACAAGACTTTTTCGTATCTCCGCCTCCTTCTCTATCCCTGAACAAAATGTCTGTTGAATTAAACTGAGGTGGGGGTGGGGGGAACAGGGGAGGGAAGGGGACTGGTGGGAAAGTTCTGTCGCTTTCCTTGAGCTGGGCAAATTCTTGAGAGGAGCCGGTCGACCGGACTTCGCCGTCTCCTCTACCTAGCGCTGCAGACCCCTGCTCAACTCTGAGAATGCGTGAGTGACACTCTTCTAAAACTTACGGTAGCGCCGTCACGCCCTGGCCGCGTGATTTGGAAGCGTCCGCGTGGGCCACGAGGGCCGGTGCGGAGATGCCGCAGCTACTGAGAGGGGGTCGCTGGCGTGCGGTGTTGGCGCGGGCCTGCCGCGCAGTGCTCTTTGCAGGGCCCCGTGGGGCCTCGGGCGGCCCGGGTTGCGCTCGGGACGCCCCCTCCGGAGCCGGCGAGCTGCGGGGCGAGCTTGACAGATTCGGGGGCGTCTCCGTGCGCCTGGCGCGGCTGGACGCAATGCACCGCTTGGACCCGGTCGCCTTCCAGAGGGCTTTGCAGGGCAAGTGCGCCTGGTCCGAGGCTCCCCTGCCTTTCTAAGGAAGTAACCGCGGCCCCCAACCCCGAGTCGCGCCTGAGGGAAGGAGAGAGGGCGTGCGCGACCCGCAGCCGTTTTGTGCCTTTCGTTCTTGTGCCCTTGGCTGGGAGGTTTCTGAGGCGGTTGGGTGAAATGGTGACGAGCTCAGACTTTGGGATCGGCAGCCCTTGTTTCTGGCCATCTTTCTAGTGTGTGACCTTGGGCAAGTTCTGTAAACCACCGTTTTCTCATCTGTAAAACCAGGTAATAGGAGCTCATGGGATGGCTGAGAGATAAATTGCATAATGCATATGAAGTGCTTCGCACGGTATCTGCCACGTATTTAACGCTCTGTAAATGTTTGTTGATATTATTACGCTCTCGTTTACTATCACTTACCGACCCTTCGTTTCGCCGGACAGTTTACGCAAGGCAGAACCGTAGCACTTTCTAGTACAGGTGGTGGACAGTGAGTGGGCCAGAGAGGTTCTGAGTGGTCGTATTTGTGCACAAGTTGGGTCAGGAGCTGTGGCGCCGAGAACTAGAGTTTGCTTTTCCTTAGTAACAAGCCTTTTGTGATTCACCGGGGAGATTGGTGAGTGGTTTCAGTCTCCAGTGAGAAAACTCGCCACTCTCTTTGAACCTTGAGGCCAGTGATAAGAAGATAGCTTGGATGGAGGAGCCTTCACTTTGAGAGCCCGTGATTTGGCGGAGCAGCCTGTTTTTCACACTGCCCCTGAGGGCCCTTATAATCAACTTGAAAGCTAGCATGCAAACTCATCCTCTCACACTTAGAGGAAACTGAAAGTAATCTTTATCCTATGGAGCAATATGGCAAGTGAGCATCTATGGAAATATAACTGAGCTAGTCGTTTTCATCTTCAACCATCCTCAGTTATAAACTGTTTACCTCTTCACCTTGTTTCCTCTCCTCGGGAACAGCTGCTAAGTACAACAGTGTTAACACTACGAGAATCAAATGTTCATCCTCTAATATGTGCACGTTTGTGTGGGTAGACACAGGTATTTATTGTACACACTTGTTACTTGTCAGTGATTAAAGCACTACCTCAGTGAGGAAGGCAAAGCAGAAAGTGGGTTGAATTTGGAGTCACACATCCAGGTTTCAAGTCCCAGGTTTTGCCACATGCTTAACGAGGCATTAGGAAAATCACCACTGAAAATATTTGCCTCTTAGGTTGTTCATGTGAATAATGCCCACTCTAACTACTTTACTGGATAGATATGGTAATCAAAGATAAATTACATGAAACTAATTTATAAACTCTGAAGTACCATATTCTTCTGTATCTTTTCAATAAATTCTTTTGTACTTACTAAGTGCTAGACACTGTTTTAAGAACTTCAAAAGTATTGATTCATTTAATCCTCATACCTGTGAGGTAGGTACTGTTATTATCCCCATTTCAAAGATGATGGTACTAAGAGACAGATTAACTTCCCCTGGCTCTAGAATTTGTTCTTGGCTGCACTGTAAGAGCTATTGCTGCTTTTTTTGTTATTGAGTCAAACAAAAGTGAATGGTATTGCCTATAAAAAGAATCTTAAAATTATCTGAGAAGAAAGCCTGGTAGGAAGTCTAAATGTATTCTTTCTTTTCAAGTAAATAGAACTGATTGCCTATAATGTATTAGCAATAGTTGTTTTGCACCTTTGCACGTGAGGTCTATTCTTTTACTGTTCCTGTTATTGATAACTAAAGTTAGATGGATGAAGAGGTAACATGTTGCTAAGCTTCACATATATCTGCATCAGTGGGGAAATAACACTTGTTCTGGTTTTTGCTGTGCCGCTCACTAGCTGTGTGACTTTAGACAAGCCAGTCATTGAATAGGAATTGAGCCCCAGTGCATAATCTCATGTTAACCTGGATGATTGCAAATGCACAAAATATTAATTAGGATTAGAAAAACAGTAACAGGTGTCATCGGGTAATGTGTAGTAAGTTCTAGTAAACCTACTAGAAAGTAGTCCTTAGGTTCACATTTGGAAAGCATGTGAGGAAAGCTTATTGTCAAAGAGGTGGTATGTGAGCTCACTTTGAGGGCTGGATCTGAGCAGAGGAATGAGAGAAAGAGGAGGAAGAAGCATTAAAGTTTATTAGTGAAACAGAGAAGAAAGAAAGCATTTTAAAAAGGATTCTTGGGCTTTGAGCATTGGAGCCAGAAAAATGCCTGTAAGCAAAACTAAGGTGGCTGGTGTAGGAATCAGTTTTGAATATAGGTGTGAAGTTTGAGGCAGCAGCCTTCAGAAGATGCGAGCAGCTGAAGAGCAGAAAAATTCAGTGTTCAGTGAGGCCAGGACTAGGCAGCCACCCTTGCGTAGTTGTTAGCTGAAGCAGTAGCAGTGGACAGATTCTCCAAGCCAGAGTGTAAAGAGAAAAAATAGCAAACAAGTGACTATACTTGTAGAACTTAAGCTTTTTCGTTTGATTGGAATGATTGGGAAGGAGGACACGGGGACTTTCTGGGGTGATAGAAATGTTCAGTAATCTTGACTGGAGCGTGGGTGGCACAGATGTATGCATAGGTCAAAACTCACCAAATGTTCACTTAAGGTTTGTGCATTTCACTTTATGTAATTCTGTCAGTTTTTAAAAAGATTTAATCAGAGAAGGATTGATGTGAGAAGGATCTGAAGGGGCGCCACAGCCCCAAATCAAAAGGTACGTTAAATTAAGGCTCCCATATTGTCTGTCACTGTGTTAGGCACACTGACTTCAAAAAGGTAGAGCAAGATGGTCCTTAACCAGGAGATGCTTACTGCAGAGGCCATAGAAGAGGAGGGAAAGGAATCTAACCATTAAATAATCAAGTCTTCCCCCTCTCTCCACACACACTTTACAGGATTGTTGTAAAGATCGCGATGGTGGATGGAGAAAGTGATCTGAAAAGTTTTTCTAAAACTGTGGAAGTATTCATTTCTTCACCTATAAATTAGGGGTGATAATACCTGCCTTTCATGTTGTGAGAACTTAATGAAACAGTGTATCTAAAATGTCTGGAATTTAGTAAGGTCCATATAAATGTTAGCATCTTTTTTTCCCTGGCTCAATCTCAAGTAATAAAGTAAGAGAATTTAAAGTCAAAGACCGAAAATCTATTTTAATGTTTGTTATGGTATAATTTGTAATAAAGGAAAGTTAGAAACAATCTAAATGTCCAAAAGTAGGAGGTCAGTTAAGTAGTTTATGGTAGACCTATATGAGGAGAATTACACAGCCATTAAAAATGTGTGTTCGTTAAAGAATTTTAATGGCATAGCAAAACATTTATAATATGTAGTAAAAAAAAATGTTGTAAATTATATATGGTATGTCAATTCCAAAATTATATTCATGCAAAAAATGTCGATTTTAAATTTATCTGTGTGCTAATGTGAAGTTTTGATTTCTTCATTGTACTTTATTTTGAAAATTTTCTAGAACTACCATACATTATTTAACAAAGTTATATTTTTCACTTTGAAATGTATAAACCAAAAATATATGTGTGTGTGTATATATATATATATATATACACACACACACATATATATATGAGAGACAGGACTTTTAAAGGAAGAGTAAATAAAAGCCCATAATAGTCATTTATAAAGATGAAAACCAAGATTGTTAAAAGGAACAACAATGAAATGGTGTTTTATTTAAATCAGTTTATTTGTTCATTTTAATACAATTATTGAGCACCAGTTATGTGCCAGGTATTGTGTCAGGTGACATATAAAGATCATCACTATATTGACTTTATTTTCGAGGAATTCAGTCTGGTGGAAAAATCATATATAATTATAATAAAACGTGGTAGTTTACGTGCTGCTGGTGTATGTGAACAGTACATTTTGCAATTCCCCCGTGCCGCCCGCCCGCCCCCAAAGAGAGCTAACTAGTAAGGGAAGTGGAGCTTAAACTTGGCTTCCTGGAGGAGGTGACACCCAGAGATGAGTTTTACTTTATTCCATTCCTCTCACTGGAAAATATTTACAGATGTTTATCTTCTGTGTTTTAGCTGCAATACAGAAATGGAGATCAGAAGGTAGAGTAGCAGTATGGCTGCACATTCCCATCCTCCAAAGTCGATTTATTGCCCCTGCCGCTTCCCTGGGCTTCTGCTTTCACCACGCAGAATCGGACTCATCCACGCTGACTCTGTGGCTGGGAGAGGGGCCCAGCAGATTACCAGGATATGCTACACATCAAGTGGGAGTTGCAGGTCTGT